GATAAGGATTAAGAGTGAGTAATTGGAATAAAGGCTACCCAAAGAGTTATAATTGTTTTACCATTTCCTCTCACTTATTGTCATCACTAAATGGCTATTAGTGGGTGAGTTAAGGGAGAAGAAAAGGATGCAGCAAGAATTGGTTTAAAAGTAGCATTGGGAAGGAAGGAAAGAGGAGAGCCTTAGTTGATTTCTTTCGATTCTATTTTCTCAAACTCATGTCTATCTTTTGTTTTAACTTAAGGATTGTGTTACTAAATTTTTAGTAGTTAGGGGCTGTTTGAAGCCCCAAATATGATTGCAAGTTTGTTATGACATTTCGTTTGAATTACTTTTATGAATGGATGAAAATTGGTTCGCTACTTGTCTCATTGATGAATTCTTTATGTGTTTTCTATGGATGCATACTTAGTAAGCATATCTAGGATTCTAATGCTATGAATATGTGTGTGCCTGCCCTTGTCGAATGAGGACCTCCATATGTTCTAGAGTAGTACTTGTTAATTGCGATTAACATGTGAACCAATTTCTAGGATAAGTAAGAAAACGTCAGTACTTACGATGCCTTGTGATGACTCAAACTCTTTTCGTTCTTAATGATTTATACTTGTTAAATCTATGAACACAACATTCTAGATTGCATGTTAGGGACTAAGTTAAGTTGAAAACGCCATTCTCTTAACATACTACATAAGAAAGAGTAATAGGTTGAGTTCTAACATGGAGCCAACTTGAGCATCTTCATCTGAAAATAAAAGGAATTTGAATGAAACATAACATGTTTGTATGATTATTTGGTGGTGGATAGCAATTCCCCTAACTCGTTTTTCTTAATTTGTGAACTACTTAAAATCTGTTTCTGTTATGTTTTTGTTCGATTTAATTTAAATAGCAAATCAACTCCAAAAATCCCAAAAATTTGTGTGAGTGTAGCTCTGTGTGTCTAGTGTTTGCATATAAAATTTCGTAGAATTTAGATAAGTGTGAGTCGGTCTAATGATTATTTTTCGATGGCTGGCCAGTAGGGACAGCAGCCCAGTTTTTGTGACATTTTAAGTAGTTAGATAAAACAATCTTCTGCAGGAAAGACCCTTATTTTCATATGCTACAATTGACAAATCTTATGATCATAACCATTTGAGGTTTACTACTTTCATGCTGTATGACATTTGTTTTTGATATTATGCATACTTCTCACTTTTCTCCTTAGTCTATGGGTTTTGTACCTACTTCAGGTTTTACTATAGTGAGGTTTTGTGAGTTTTACCGCCAATGCATACTTTGTTTAATTTGAGACTCGCATCGCCAGTTAAGCCGACAACTTCATCAACTGATCTACTTCATCCATTGAAGACCTGATGCGATGTTTTGTTTGAGTATTTATATATTCAAGGATGAGTGTTGCAGTCCTATTTATTATAGAAATGTGATTATGTAAATCTTATCATATCTTGGATATCATTAGTAGATTCTAGCATATCTCTTAAACTAGATATTATCCTATTAGAGTTATAATCCTATTAAGGTAAGGAATTTACCTTTTATACTACTATAAATAGAGGCACAATGAGGGTGGAATACCATACACCTCACAATTACACAGCCCTCTCTTCTCTCTCTGTGCCGTCGGCCCCTCATTCTCTGTCCTTTATAATTGTTCAATAAATTAGGCATACAACATGTGTTAGATTATACTTTCATTTTAATCATTTGAAATTGACTCTTACTAAAATTTATATTCTATTTTTGTTATTTAACGTGCATTTTTATTTAATATCTCCACATTAAAATTTGATTTTATTAATGTGCACATTTAAGTTCTTCCAATTATAAATAAACTTAAATGAGGAAACACTAAAATAAATTAGTGACACATAAATATGTAAATACATAAGTGTAAAGAAATGACTATACCGATATATATTAAATTGACTTCTTTGTACCGAAATGTCTATGCCTAAATGTTTGTACTGATATATTATCATGAACCTAAACATTTGTACCAAAATGTATTATATTGAATTAATGTACATAAATATCAATACCGTAATGTATGTACCAAAATATATGTATCGAAATGTGTAATAAAGAATTAATGTACGTGTATATATATATATATGTGTGTGTGTGTGTGTTTGTCTATATATATATATATATATATATATATATCTGTATTGTTTGATATACTGAAATATACTAAATAAACTAATGTACCTAAATTTCTACAACAAAATATATTATGACGAAGCAAATGAAATAAAGATTATATATAAGTAATACATTAAAATTAGAAAGAAAAAAAAATCAAAATATAATTAATAAATGAGGTGATTACATGTATCAAGGGAAGAAATTAGATTTTAATCTTACACAAGGTTATAGTCTAAAAGTCATCTTTTCAAAGTATTAAAACGAAGTTTTGTATTATTTTATTTTGTATGCCTTGTAAGCGTGGGATTTGGATCCTTTCCTGAGCTAATGGAAAGGATCCTCCTGACTCATCATTATGAACCGTTGGATTTTTATCTAACGGCTACAATTATTATAACTTTAAAGGGACCTCCCTGTTTGTAGCCGTTGGATAAAAATCTAACGGCTCACAATGATGGGTTAGGAGGATCCTCTCCATTAGCTCATGAGAGGATTCAAATCCGTAGGCGTGTACTTAGCAAGTTTTTTTTTTTTTTTTTTTTTTTTTTGTCATTTTGGTTTTTCAATAAAAATTGAAATTTGTCTGTTTACATGCAATTGTGATAGGCTTTTGACAAAAGGTAGAGCTCCTGATGGTCGGTGAACGGATGCCATATTGCTGTCGTTGCTCCCAATTACCCAGACCCTCCAACTTTGCCGATATATTTTCTTTCGATTTGTAAGGTTTTCAAGGATAGCGAAAGTATAAGAACAAAAATTAATTATTATTTTAATTTTTTTAATTGAACATTTCAAAACAATATGAAAGAGAAGGATAAGCAGAGGCCAGAAGGGGAAAGGGTTGCTGCGGTGGGTGTTGTCGTCCTCACCAGTCATTTTTCCATTCCCCTCATATGATATTTTCTATCTCTAATGTCTAAGGAAAAGAGGTCCTGAAACCCCACATTAGATGTTCAATCTATTCGAATATTCTTCAAACCTCTCCATTTCAGCAGCAAAACCACAAAACCCCATCGCTCAAGCACTCACTGTGAAGTCAAAATTCACAAAACTACAAACCCAAATCCAATTTCTTTAGGCATGAGAAACCAATTATGTTGCCGCGAGTAAACTATTGTATTTATTGTAATATTGTGATTCCCTTACAGTTAGGGATTTCTAGGTTTTTTTTTTTTTTTTTTTTTTTTCTGTGTATATCTCACCATCTTGATAGAAGAATACAATTTGAATTATTCCCAGATACACTACTACTTTATTTAAGGCGTTTTTGAACTTTAAGCCTTGAAAAAGATTAGAATTTAAGAAAAATCTGACGTTAGATTACATATTGGTGTTAGTGTAGCTTGCTTTGTCATTGCCCTCCCCAGATGGGTGGAACTGCTAAACTCCAGTATATCATTCGCGGTACATAAACGCGTCCTATGTGCGATGAGAAGGTCCCACTGATTTACACACGACCTAGCTAGGAATCTTTAGGCTATCAGAAATCAGTTAATGTTGATGATATTAGTGTGATGATATGAGAAGGTCCCACTGATATTAATGTGAGGACAAAGACCCGCATAGCAAGAAACGTTAGGCAACAACTCTGCAAGCTGCTCTGATGAAGAATCAAAGCTCTTATAGGAGCATATATTATTCTACACAAAGAAAGCCGGCCACCATGCATGTATTTTCTTCAATTGTCCTTGACCCTAAGGTGATCCAAGCAAGGCATCATGTAGGCAGCGGGGCTTGCCTGAAGTTCCATCAATTTCTCATACGTCATTCCAATGTACTTTGCTTTTTCGCCTTCCTTTTCTAGTAACTCTGGGATCGGTACGGCAGGCGTGTCGAGTGCCGGTCCATGTGGTACGGCGATCGATATCATAGTAGCTGTGTTGTTCACAGTTGCTCGATGCCATATGCTTTTGTACTTGTCGTTTGTCAGAATCTGCATTTGATCACCGACGTTAACAATAAAAGCGCCCGGGGCGGCATTCACCAAGACCCACTGATCATTGTGCTTGACTTCAAGGCCACACATATCATTCTGAATAAGGAGAGTCACCAGTCCATGATCTGTATGAAGAGGAATACCGAGTGCCAGGTCGGGATGTGGGCAAGCCGGGTAGTAGTTCGCTGCCAGAATTTGGCAGACGCGATCCCAGTTCATGGCCTTGGTAATGTAATCGGCCTCGAATCCCAAACTCTCCGATATTCCATTCAATATTTTGTTTGCCACTGCACGGGTTCTTTTGCTGAACTCCAATGAAACTTCACTGTATCCAGCAGATTTGTAGAGTGAGTTGAATTCGGGGTGTGCGATGACCTTGAGATAATCCCTCCAAAGACGAACTTTGTCAATCGCGACGTTGAAGCTGGTGCCGCACTTGATTGGGTCCAACAGGTTCTTTGTATGGAACTCCTTCTTTTCCTCCTCCGGTAGCTCAAAAAATCTTCGGCACACGTCAATCATTTCTTTCATCAAGCTCTCTGGTACACCGTGGTTGATCACCTAAAAGGCATCAAGCGCATGAAAATATTAATTCATGTTTCATTTTTGAAATTAAAATCTGAAAACTTGTGACTATTTCGGTTTTCAATTTAATCTGAAAACTTGAAATCAATGATGGGGATTGAGTGTTCTGGGTCTTTTGCATCTCCCTTATCGTTGGGATCCATGATGTAGGCGTACTCGGAAGGTACAGAAGTGAGAGCATCTGAGCCGGCTAAGGTTTTGATTGTTGCTACATTGGGCTCGGAGGCATCCACTGAAGTCACTGTAGGTGCCATTGGTGGAGGGAGAGAGAAAGAAGCTGAGACTTCTAGTCTTCTTTTGTATATGCATAAGGAAGGAGGTGAGGGAAAGGAAAGTTAATTGTTTGAGTGGTGTGGAGAAATATGGAAAAGGGAGTTGTTATTTATAGAGCAGGATGGAAATATTTACAAGGCAATCACTCTTACGGTCTTACTCTTACCCCATTTCTAGGCAATATATTAATTTTTATATTCTGTAAACTACATTTAAACTATTTATCTAATAGGGATGAGACATACTTATATTGTAGACCTTATCTCTATTCAATAGATGGTTTAAATGTGGTCTACAAAGGAAAACATTAGGAAGACATTTATTTAGACCGAATTTGTAATCATATGATGTGCTACCAATAAAAAATAAACTCGTTAATCAAGCACTAGAGTAATAAAAAAAATTATCAATGATCACTTCATGTGATTTACGAAGTATCATTTAACTTTAAACACATGGTATCCCTAGAATTACTTGGTCTATAAAATACGATCTCCGTGCATCATCCTTTCTAATAAAAATAAAGTACACAATGTATATATATATGTCTCACTTCTATTATAAATATGATTTAGATGTAGTCAAAAGTTTGACTAAAAAAAAAGATGTGGTCAACAAAATATTTTTCCCAATACTTCCTATGCAATAATCATACTACTACTAGATAAACAATTAAACATGTGATATGATAGTTCACCCCAACATTCCGCATTTGTCCGACTGTTGCTGAGCAGTTTTCGGATATTAAACGGACCTTTGCAAAAGGTAATTTTAACGTGGCCGATTTCCTCTCTTTTGCAAGGGGTTTTTGGGATAAAAAAAAAAAACAAAACAATTACATGTTTCTTTTTTTGTTTTGAACAAATAATATTTCTTGTTTTTATTTATACCTTTGCTTTGCATTGAAAAAGAAAAAAAACTGATAAAAATTTGATATGATTCAACCTCAAACCCTAATTAATGCATTGAAAAAGAAAAAAACTGATACACAATTAAACATGTGATACATAGAAATAAAGTATAATTAAGTTGCAATTAGAGATTATTTATATATTTACTTATTGCATTTACAAATTTACTACATTTTATAAGCTTAGGGGTGCCTTTGGTATGAAAATAAAAATAAGCTGACGTGTAATCGTAGTCATCGGACCATTTCAATAAAGTGGACTATTTCTAATGGGGGCTAAAAATTGACTTACATCAAATTTTCTCTATATTAATTCTTAGAAGTCTATATTATGTAAATCACATTTAAATTATTTCTCTAATATAGATGAGACATATTGTGTTGAAGACCCTATATCTATTCGAGAGATGGTTTAGTTGTGCTCTAAAAAGGAAAATGTTAGGGAGACATTTATTTAGATCACATTTGTAAACCATATAATATGTCACAAATAGAAAACAAATTTGTTAATTAAGCACTTAAATAATAAAATATCAACAACAACATTATGTGGTTTATAAAATATGATTTAAGTATATGGTCTTCCTAACATCACCGTCTCTCTAATAGAAATAGGATCCACAATTATATTTTAAAGATAATTTAGATGCAATCTACAAAATATTAGCTCCCCCAACATTTTCCTATGCAATAATCATACTACTACTATGATGTAGGATAACCAAAATTTGACAAGGGACTGCCTATGGACATGTTATATAATACATTCATTATCTAATAGTAAGATATACAACTAAAAACATATATTATTTATCTAACTGTTAGATGTTGAATATACTAAGTGAATATATAATATCATATTATGACTCTTAGATGGTTAATATACTAAGTAAATATATATACTGTAGCTAAACTAATGAAATATTTGTTTTATTTTCCTAAGATGGAGGAGAGATGGGAAGAGTTTTTGTATGTATGTATAGTTGATGAGAAAATTATAGAAATGTAGGAATGCATTGGACATGGGATAACATCATCTCTAAAGATATGTCAAATTCTAACTAAAATGTCATGTAATCAAATTTAAAGGTAGGAAGAAACTTCAACCGATATGTCAATCCTAAGTGAATTGACATATGAGTCTTTTGTCGTCAAGTTTGACATATGAAAAATGTATTGTCAGTTAATTCTTAATTATTTTATTGTATGGGAAATGCACCAATTATAAATCTTGAAAAAATTATTTTGAATTGATTTCCTTTTAAAATGGATCCTACAAATATCATTTATAACAAACAAACATATCGACTGTATGAAGAGAAAATCTAATACTTACCACGTCAGCTATCAATTAACATTTAACATTTATCTTATAACATTTTCATTGAGGATGCTTTAAAGAAATCTGGATTCTCGACCAATTTGAGACTTTGTCTATGGAAATATACGGCACAGGACACACAACGTAAGCTATTGAAGGTGGCACATCATTCCATGGGAGTATGATTTGTTGGAAAATTTAATAAAAAAATATTATTATATTAAATTTTTTAATTGAATGGAAATTAGATGTGGAGTCTTTTGGTAGAAAGATGTGTCTACTCAAATGAAGAGTTGCAACTTTTGACTCTTCATGAATAGTCACATGCTTTCCAAAGAGGTATCTCACATTCTATAAATAGGGAAGCCCCATATAATCACAAAATAACTTTTCATTGTTTACATAATCATACATAGAGTGCACTAAATATTGAAAAGTCTCATTGAGTCCATATGAGAAAGTTTTCAACACAATCGTGGTTCATGGAAGCATTCTGATTTTCTTTGCAAAATTACATCCTCAATGCATTATATAATGCACTATACAATGTGTATAGTCCAATTAAAAGTGCAAAAGCCTTATGGAACTCTCTTGACAAGAAATATTTTATTACTTTCATAGACGATTGCACAAGGTACTGTTATATGTATTTGCTAAGAAGCAAAGATGAGGCCTTAGAAGCATTCACAAATTATAAGAACGAAGTTGAGAATCAACTTAGCAAAAAGATAAAGGTTATAAGAATATGTTGCACCCTTTTCTAAATTTTGTAATCAGCGATTGGAAGGGCACAAAATCATATGTGTTCGGAGGAATGCTGTGTGAATATTATTGAGTGTTATTCAAAATGATATCAATATAGAGAAATAATCTTGAAAGTGTGGGGGTCTTTCACAAAGGAAAAGACGACACTAAAAATGTGCAAGGCATTTCACATAATTGTATTAGACATGCATGATGATACTTATTAAGTAAGCATATTAATGGACATGGCCATTGGGTCATGTATGTTAGTCATAGTGAGGTATAAAGGCCAAAGAAGATAGATATATAAGGTCTATCTTAGTTGTTTCCTACTTCATAAAAAAATAATAAAAAATAATAAAAAAATAAAAACTATTGTGCTTCATTTGTATAATACCACGTAGAAGAGGCAAGTTGATAACTATGACATATGTGCATTAACCTAAAAGGAAAAAAACGAATCCCTTGAGAGGCGAAATAATGCGATGGCCATCACCGAAGTGTCAAGTGAGTTTTGCATAACTCATGATTGGTCATAGTATCATGAAGTTGTTGAATGGCGCCAACAAGTGTTTTTCTTAAAAACATAAGTGGCTTTTATAAAGTCTATGTGAAGATACAAAGAGATTTTCTCTTTACAGAGAATTCCTACATCTTAATATGAAATATAATTTATTGATAGCGTTAAAAGCAACCACAATATGAGAGGATTGTGGGGGTGACTTAGCTATTTTTGAGAAATGGAATATACTTAAAAAGAATGTAAAAGTAATTTGCTTCTAGAAAGAGATAACGATCTTTTATCTCTTATAATTGAAGTTTTAAGGTATTGAAAGGTTGGAGATCTTCTAGCAAATACCTTAAATGTGGGGGAATGTACCTGAGTATTAGCAAATTATTTTTTAAGTCCTAACATATGTTTTGAAGGACTTAACGTTGGAAAACAGCTACTCTCAAATGAAACATAATTTTATAAATGAAAGTGCGCACCATAAGTGATAGTCATCAACCTAGTGGATCCAATTAATTAAAGGTTTGACTAGAGAGTAAGTTGTACACCGAGGGGAATGGGATATAAGCTTTACTTTTAATGATTCCTATACTTGGAAATAACAAGTGGGGTATTGCAGGATACTCTTAATGGGAAGTACCTATCTTGAGCAAGGAATGGGGCAGTTCCTGTGAGAATTTTTTGAAGGGCTTAGTTCTCTAAAAGTGCTCATGAGAAACCAAGAATTGTTCAGGGCCAAAATGAACACAACCAAGCAACCACGGTGTGTCTGGAAGGGTATTATGTGATTACTATTGTCCTGGTTTACATAAACGGCTGAGTAGTTCAAGACATCGCATTCACTGATTAGCCAAGTAAATCCGATAGTAATTCACTACGAAGGGTTCAAAGCGAAAGGCCACCTATCCCGATGCGGTACTTTTCCAACTTAAATTATCTCTCTAGTGTCTGCATTGTCATTTGCATGATATTGAGTCAATTTCCATTCATGTGAGGGATTGTTGCAAAATTTAATAAAAATATATTATTATATTAAATTTATTAATTGAATGGAAATTAGAAGTGGAGTCTTTTGGTAGAAAGATGTCTCTACTCAAATGAAGAGTTGCAACTTTTGACTCTTCATGAATAATCACATGCTTTCCAAAGAGGTATCTCACATTCTATAAATAGGGAAGCCCCTTATAATCACAAAATAACTTTTCATTGTTTACATAATCATACATAGAGTGCACTAAATATTAGAAAGTCTCATTGAGTCCATATGAGAGAGTTTTCAACACAATCATGGTTCATGGAGCCTTATGATTTGGAGTGCTACTATTACAAGGACGTGGTCGTTGTATCTTGGGAGACATACGCCGATCAACCATGAGCACCATAGTGGGGCGTAAACTTGTCTTAAGGACAAAGTGTCCAACACTTGCCTCGACCGTATTTTCTAGGTTTTTCTAATCCCTTATATCATGTTCATTTAACATTGGTTACCCAATGCATTATTGTGATATACATAATTGCATGAATTATTTCTTGATTTTTCATGTGATTTAATATAGCAATTAGACCCTA